AAAAAATAAAATGCATGGAAATTTTACACAATAATATCAAAAGATATGGACGTTTTGTGCTAAATACCCAATAAGAAAATACTATACTTATTTGTAAAAGAAAAAAAAATTCATTTCGAGAATTTGTGTTGGAAGTTGAATTGGAAGAGAGTTGGTGTGGGTTTTGAAATAATAATTTTTTTGTATATTATTTGGATCTAAATTAAACTATTTGTATACGCAAAGTGTACATTTTGACCGACACTTTTCATATGTCAAAAATCTGACAATTGATTGGAAAATATGTTGTCAAGATCAATATACCAAAATTTACAAACTTATATAGATGTAAATTATTGTATCAACATTTATACACATGCATTTTGGTCCATAATATTTTTATCCCATCCGTAAATTATGCGATCTAAGAAGAGAGGACCAGAAATAGGAAATCCGAGTCATAAGTAAGAGACACGGTAGAGTAGCTACATCTTGACAAGTGTGCAATTGAGATTACACGCGTTCCTATTTCCACTCTTTAATACTCGTTAGTTACCATTTCATCTCATGTTTACTCTCCATTTCTCTCATCATCAATCTCATGGGTTCAGAAACATTTCTTGAAGTGATATTGGCGATACTGTTACCACCCGTTGGGGTCTTCCTTCGTTATGGCTGCGGAGTAATTTATTGCTTCTCTCTTTTTATATTTATTTTTTTCTTCGATTTAATCCTTGTTTGATGAAAATTAAAATCAATTTTAGTTTTATTTTTTAGATTTCGATAAGTTGATGAAATTTAAAGTCAAATTTAAATTTTAACCGCATATTTTGTATATTTCATAAGCACTGTCCCCCCTATTCTCATTCATTTTCTGTCTGCTTATTCATCACTCATCTTTTGAAAACTAACATTTTGGTAAATGTAGTTATTGTGTGAAAAGTCTTTTAGGGCCCGTTCGGTAGGGATTAAAATCATATTAAAATTGAAAAAATAGTCGTTATTGTTGACTTTTATTAGATGAGTGAGACTTAATAACGACCATATTTTCAATTTTAATTAGATTTTAATCCCTACTGAACGGGGCCTTAGTCTTGCAATATGTGTTAGATAGCTCTCACTCATATTAAATAATAAAATAAAAGTCAATTGTTTATGATATTTTATTTCTTTTTTCTTTTTAAAGTCACTATTTTCATATCCTAATAAAATAATTTGACACGTAACCTAAATTTATTTCCTTTTTTCAAATCACACATTTTTTCGAAAAATAGCTGTTACAAAATCTACCCCCTCCAAAAA